TTATCCATTTATTTATGTTGTAAGGACAAAGATCCACATTAAACCTTTACAAAGTACAGAGAATAGCAGAGGCTATGAGATCTAGGACTGATAAAATTATAGGAAATCTAAAAACAATATAATTTGGACTAAAATATTGATTAAAAATGGAAAACAAAGGTTAAAGTATACTCCTATAGTACTTACTATCTGTGATATTGATTAATTTAATACCTAATGCTTTACACACATACTTTAAAACAATTTCAAAATGTTTTTGCCTCTTTAACTAGAATGTAAGCCCATCAAAGGTGGTATCATTATATATAAGGATCAGTAAATATTTACTGATGACCACTCTGCTTTTTCTCAGAGAATGCATCCACTGTTTATAAATAGTTATGTTTGTCATACTCTGTCACTTTTAAGTTTCCCAAGTTTATGTGGTACACAAAGATGAGTAGGTCTCCAAGGGTTAATTCTGGCACTATGTGGAGAAACTGTAACGACTCTAATTTAAAATGTTATCCTTACAGACCCTGTTCATCAAATGAGGTAGGTTTTTTGGTCTGGCAAGTCCCTTTCACCACCACCAAAAAGCCTTTGTAGCTGTGAATTTAAATTGACAGTCCTCTTCTCTCCAGCCACCAAAGGGGCAGAAATTGTGACATTTCCACTTTCTCTACCTACACACTGGAGTAGAATAGTCAACACACTACAAACTATATGATTATTGTCCTTTGGATGATATTATAATTTATGTACTCATGTTTAGTGTCATAATAATTTCATGTTCAGGATCTAAATAGCTATCATAGGGAGGACCAAAAACTTTTATTTGTTTCATATTTTTAATATTGTACAACATTAACTAATTTGTTTCATTTAGAAGTCAGTTCATAAAAAGATCCTTCACATCTAGAACTAAACTCTTAACTAAAGAAAATCTACAGCCCTCTACAATGACAATAAATATGTAATCACACAAAACACAAGGCCATGACCCTATGTATGTGTCCTGCTGAGAAGCAGAGTAGGTCAGGAAAGGTATTTGTAAATAAATTTGTAAAAAATTACAGCAAATTTGTAAAAAAGGTATTGAAAGCTGAAGGAAAAATAGGAATTTAGTAGAGGAAGAGGGGAGGGCAACAGTCTTTTACATCAAAAGAACTGCAGGTCCGATGGCCCTGAGGGTAAGAGGTCAGAGGTGCTGGAACGCACAGTGCCACAGGATTAGCGCAGAGGTGAGCCACGAGGCTAGAGATGTGAACCAGCGCAGGCAGGGTCATCCAGGCCTTGTGAAGGATTTCGGTGTTTGGGATTTAATATCACAACTAACACGAGTTGATTGGTGTTTTTACAGGACCATTTTGAGCAATTAGGCAAGAAAAAGAAAAAAAAAGGCATCCAAGTAGGGATGGGTGTCCCTGGTGGCTCAGCTGGTAAAGAATCTGCTTGCAATGTGGAGACCTGGGTTCGATCCCTGGGTTGGGAAGATCCCCTGGAGAAGGGAACAGCTACCCACTCCAGTATTCTGGCCTGGAGAATTCCAAGGACTGTACATTCCATGGGGTTGCAAAGAGTTGGACATGACTGAGCAACTTTCACTTTCACTTTCAAGTAGGAAAGAAAGAAATAATCTCTACATATAGATGATATGATCTTATATATAGAAAATCCTAAAGGCTCCATCCAAAATCTGCCAGAATTAATCAATGAAATTCAGTAAAATTCAGTAAAATTGCAGGATACAAAATCAATATACAGAAAACAGCTGTGTTTCTATACACTAAGAACAAAACAGCTGAAAAAGAAATAATTTCATTCACTATAGCATAAAAAAGACCAATAAAATACTAAGGAATAAATTTAACCAAGAAGGTGAAAGATCTGCACACTTAAAACTACAAGACTTTGATGAAAGAAGCAGAAGACAGAAATGGAACAATAGCCTATGTTCACGGATCAGAAGTTGCACTGTTAAAATGCCATACTACCCAAAGCCATCTACAGATTCAATGCAATTCCTATTAAAATTTGCAATGGGCATTTTTCACAGAAATGGAAAAACAATTCTAAAATTTGTATAGAACCAGAAAAGAAACTGAGGAGACAAAGCAATCTCAAGGAAAAATAACAAAGCATCACACTTCCTGATTTCAAGCTACACTACAGAGTTATAGTAATCAGCAGACACAGGAACCAATGGGACAGAACCGAGAGCCCAGAAATAAACCACACACACATAATTAACTAATATTTAACAAGGGAGCCAAGAATACTCAGTGGAGAAAAGACAGTATCTTCAATAAACAGGGTTGGGAAAACTGGATAACCACATGCAGAAGAATTATATTAGACTTGTACCTTATACCACTCACAAGAGTGAACTTGAAATGGACTTAAAACTTTAAACATAAGACCTCAACCATAAAATTCCTAGAAGAAATCATAGAAAAAAAGTTCCTTGACTTAGGTCTTCATAGTAATTTCCTTTTATGATAGTGAGTGAGTGAAGTCGCTCAGTCGTGTCCGACTCTTTGCAACCCCATGGACTGTAGCCTTCCAGGCTTCTCTGTCCATGGGATTTTTCAGGCAAGAGTACTGGAGTGGGTTGCCATTTCCTTCTCCAGGAGATCTTCCTGACCGAGGAATTGAACCCAGGTCTCCCACATGGTAGGCAGACGCTTTACCATCTGAACCACCAGGGAAGATAGCAAAACACAAGCTAAAAAGCAAAAATAAATAAGTGAAACTATATCAAACTAAACACCTTTATAAAGCAAAAGAAACTAAAACCAAAATGAAAAGGCAACCTACAGGAAGGGAGAAAATATTTGCAAATTTTATGTCTGATATGAGGCTAATATCCAAAATTTATTAAGAATTCTATAATTCAATAGCAAAAACCAATTAAAAAGTGGACAAAGGAAATTAATAGAACTTTTCCAAACAAGACATACAAGTGGCCAACAGGTACATGAAAAGGTATGCAACATCACTAATCATCAGGGAAATGCAAATCAAAACCAGAAAGTTATCACCTCATACCTGTTAAAATGGCTACCATTAAAAAAAAAAAAGACAAGTGTTGGTGAGGGTCCAGAGAAAACTGAAGCCTAGCGCACTGCTGGCAGGAATGCACGTTGGTGCAGCCACTACAGAGAACAAGTCATAGAGCTGACTCAAGCCTGCTCTTGACAGCGGGCTGCCCTCTGAGTGGAGGCAGGAAGCCCCTGACTTCATGGCAGCATTCTTCTGAATTCTGCATCTGCAAGCCAGAGCTGAGGAGGAAGAGAAATGCTGGTTACCTGAACCTTTTATGGGCTTTCCTGGTGGCTCAGATGATAAAGAATCCACCGGCAATGCAGCAGACCTGGATTCGATCTTTGGGTTGGGAAGCTCCCCTGAAGGAGGGCATGGCAACCCACTCCAGTGCCTGGAGAATCCCCATGGACAGAGGAGCCAGGCTATAGTCCATGGGGTTGCCGAGAATCAGACATGACTGAGCGACTAAGCATAGCACAGAGTCTTCTACCGAGATACTGCAGTCTTTGACTAGAAATTACATGAAAAGGAACCCCATCTTCCTAGCCACACTCAGTTGAACTGAAGCTTCCATCATGACGATCTGGGGCTAAGAGGAGGGAGAGAGTGCATCATGGCTCAAGTGCTACAGACTGTTTTGAGACTTAGTCACTTTTCCTGATTAAATGTTTTTATTTGCTGACTTGACATCTAATCTTAAGACAGTTTCCAGATACTTTAATTTTTTTTTTTTTTTTTTTTTTGCTTTTTAAATAATTTTCACTGGTTTTGCTTTTTCTAACAGGGGTGGTTCTGTGGACCTCCTTATGCTACAATACCAAAAGCGATAATTTCTACTCAGTATTTCAGTTCAGAAACAAAACTTACTATATGAATGAAGCTTTAACTTTATTGTACATTCAAAGTTTGACTGAGTACCAAAAAATAGGTATCAGGCTACATATTTGCTACATAAGTAAATAAACTTTAAGGTTTTTATATTGTCCAAATTTTAATCAATAACAATATGTGAAAGAATGGGATTTTAAGTCTTAACTGTTATAATACTTTCAAACTGTAAAAAAAAAAAAAAATTAAGTCTTAACTGTTTTTAAAATTTTAAAAATTAATGGCATATTTGAAATCATGGAAATTCCCTTAAAATTCTTCCCAAGGTTATTTCAAATTTTAATTTTATAAATAAATTTTATAAAATCTTTTGGACTTCAGTTCTTGGAATAGACAATTAATTAAACCTTCTACAGAGATTCTTATTTAACTCTTCTTAAACAGATACACAACTACAATCACTATTACCATCAGAGACCTACTAATTAGACATCTGGGACTGATTTACATTTAGTCAAGCAGAAACTGCCATGTGGAATCTAGATGTTTTTTCCATGACACATATTGACATTCATTCAAGATCATATTATCTATCTATCTTCTATCTATCTATGTGTGTGTGATCTTTAAAAAAAAGAATATCATTTAAGCAATTCTACATAAATCACATATTTCCTAACTGTGATGTTTCTATTTTGTTTCTATTTTATCATATATGAGAAAGACCTAGGTAAATCCAAATATCCACAGTATCACCATATGATGTAATCAAAGAGTAATCACAACTCTTCAAGCTGATTTCAAAGCACTTAATGATTTACTCAAGACCTTTAACAGAAAAGTACCATGTAAAAATGCTTTCTCTACACCCCTTGGGACAGCTGGAATATGAAGGGACACTCAGTTTACGAACCTGTGCCTGTGCCTCTCCTGGCTGGAACAGGGACGCAGCTCTTACCGTCCCCCCTAGTCCCTTGTAAGAATGAAGGTTAACCTGGTCCCAAACTTGGAAAATTTAATTTGATAAAAAAGAAACAAGGTGTGGATTTTAGGAGGATTCAGTTAACAACAGAGGTATTTTCTGAAGTAGCCTGAGTTAGAGAATTTAAAACAAGAATATTATATATTTTAATTTTTAAACTTACCTGATATAAATAATCTTCAAATACAAAATAATAATCATCATTGCTTGCTGTCAATTTCACATCCTATAATTAAAAGTAGAGAGCACTGAAAAGAACTTAAATGAGTATGTTTATAGTACTAAGACATAAATGTAACATATAGAAATAATACTGAAGTGATTTTATTACTTCACATATAATTATAAACTTCTCAATTAGATTTTATCACTGGATTTATCAGAAATAAATTTATTAGGTTACTTGATAATATATGTGACACATTACTTGACTTCAAATTGTGTACACTTGTTTGGGTTCTAGTAGTAATTTCTTATTATTTATTTCAATTTTATCTCCTTTGAATCTAATGTTTAGGCATCTTAAAATTAGAAAAGCATTTGCAATCACAATGTCCAAAAGCATCTGTAAAAATCTGGCATCAAATTGCTGTTCAATCTGGTCCTCCATCATTCAAGCCCACATTCATGCCATTCCATCAAAATACCAAAAATCTTCGATGTTTTTCTAATTATTCATTTGCAAGTCATCACTTGTTAGCAAACAAGACAAAGTTTATCTTCAATCTCACCAGGAAGAAAACATACATGGTAGAAATATTGGAGAATGAGAAATACTGGTTACACGCCCCAAAGAAAATTACAGAAATCTATGCAAATATTATAATTATATAATTATAAATATAATATAAATCTATGCAAGTATCATAGAAATCTATGAAAATATTGCCAACCTACAAGATTCAATTGGGCTATTGATCAAAACAGCAATTAGAGGAGGATAAAATGACTTGTGGATGACCCTAGAGATAGTGAATATGTGCTGAGCCTAGAAAAACTGAAAGACACAAATTAAGAGAAAAGAAAGGAGCCAGTCTAAGTCACAACATGGGCAGAAGTAGAGATCATGCAATCTCAAGGAGGATGATGTTGCCTCTAAGGGGGCTTCATTCCTGGGGATCAAAATTTTTTACATAGTACAATGGCTTATGGACCTCCAAAGCTTGTTCTATCCAACAGAATCTTATTCTTTGGTATTTAATTTTTTATATTAGAGAAAATTTTCTCTTACATGAAAAAAGGTTGAGAGACACTGATATGAACTGTCAGATCACAGTAAGTGGTAGAAAATTGTAGATGGTGTGGATTCAGGGCAAGTTTGTGAGAAAAAAAATACAATCCAGAGAGAATCATTACATATTTTAGCTTAGGGAGGGTTTGATGATGTTCTGTACTTAAGTATTGCCTTGTTTCCTTCATTTCTTTAACCGCTAAAATAATTCTACTTTATTTTCAGTTAAATTAAAAATGAATCTTTGCCAAAGGGAGTTGTAATGAAACTTCAAATGATTATTTTTTTAATGCTCATTCCCTTAAGGGCTGACTTTAATACTATTTGGAGTTGCTCCAGTAAGATCAGCAGAGTTAACTAACTGCTGTGGACAGTCAGGACTGATTCTAACAAAACTTACATTTGACTGTTCAGACACAAGCTGTTTACTGCTTTCTCATGACAGATTTGCTTTACTGATTCTAACTGAAATTCATGTGGGCAGCAAAGGACTTTCATGTGAGCACTCTTGGATTTTTTGAACTTCTCTTGTGATACTTCTCTCATTTGAACAGAGAGGATTAAAAGTCTTAAAGCCCCAAAGATCTCTTAGGCTGTTGCTAAGATAATCCCCTGTGTACACTCATTTGACCTCAAAGTCGGTAGCAGTACCTTGATCCAAATCTATGTAAAAACTTCAAGAGTTTTTCAAGAGTCAAGACTTTTCATCAAAAGACTGCATCTTCTTAACTCTCCTCATCCTCCTCCCTGTAGAGCATAGTGGTTAAAGGTATGGTTGTAAAATCAGATTACCTAGATTCAAATCTTGGCTTTACTACTTAATATATGAATTTAAACAGATTTCTTTACTCTTTGTTTACCTTAGTTCCCTCACCTGTAAGACAGTAAAGTAACAGTATTAATACTTCCTACTTTGCTATAATACATGTTATCAATATGTGGCTGGTGAGTACGGAAATGATGTCAGGATAACATGAGAATGGTGTTGGTTCAAATGCAATTTTCCTTTAAAAAGAGAAGTCAGAACAGCAGAAGTAGAATTACATCCTTCAGCAGGAAAGGGCAAAGCCTTCTGCAGGCATGAGCCCTTTGCCTATTTCCAAGAGAATGGAAATTTCAAGAGAACGGAAAATGAATGATTGCACGGGGTCCCTGTCTCCAGAGAGGCACACCCCCAGCCCTGCACATCTCCTAACTGCTGCACTTCCTCCTGTGCCCCCCTGGACAGCAGCCCCAGTGGCTCTGCACAACTGAATTATCTTAGCGCTTACCCTTTGTTAGTTTTGTCCATTTTTAATAATTCCAGCGGGAGCAGCCTGCCTGAGCTGTCCAGGTCATCTCCCAATGATTGTTTCTGTTAGCACTTTGGCTATAAAGTTGCAAAAGCTACCCCAACCCTATTTTTCCTATAAGCTCTATTATTTTTAATGCATGATCCTGTAGAATGCAAGTTTTTTTTTCAGGAAAAAAAAAAAAGAATTCTCATTTACAGCCCAAATGCCAGTATCTACTCCCCTGGGGTAGCTGTCAGGATCAGATGCCAATCTATGTAAAGAGTCTGGACCACTGTATAGCACACAGTAAGCAATCATTAAACACTAGCAGTCACTGTTATTATTAACTTCTGTTATGTTCTACCCAGACAAATCATTGATTCTTTTTTCCCCTGTTTCTGAGATCTGGAAAAATATGCCCTTTCTCCTCTATCTTACAAGTTCTAAATCTAAAATCTAAGTCTTTTATACAACTCAATTATGAATCCAGAATCAGTCAAACCCTATACCATGCTTTCAGCACCTACATCTCAACTCTCAATAACAGATGCCTAAAAACAAAAACTCAATGAATCCCTATCATAAAACTTGAGATCTGTTTAACTCTATGTCTAGAAATCAAAAGAAATTAAAAATAAGCTGTGACTTCAATATAATAAAATAAACAAGCAGGCTCTAAAGAACTGTGAGATAAATAAGATGAAGAAATCCATAATCTGATTTTTTCTTTTAGTAGATTTTCTGTATAGTTTGAGTGGAAAATTGGAATTTATAAGGACAAGAAATATCATTCACTTAATCAATAAATGGGAGGGTCAAGAAAGGATTGTGAAGACAGTTGCAAAGTGAAAGATAACATTGAATAGAAACTGCAGATTTTGAAGGTCAACCTTATCATCCTAAGTATAATGATCACTTAAAATTATTTTTCAAGGTTAATATGTATCATCATAGATAGTGCAGTACCTACATGAAGAAGACTCTTGATAATTGCTTAATGTTAACAAAATGGAAAAACTTATAGCTTTACTTACTTTATAAATTAGACTGTCCACCAAAAGGTCATGTTGTATCACATTTGTCTTAAGCTGCTCATAATATAAAATATCCTAGATTTAAAAGAAAAACAAAAATATTAAAAGTCAATCATTTATAAAGTCAGCCTCAAATTTTAATAAATAATGATCATTAATAGTATTATATACACTAAGAGAATAAGGGCTTTATTTTATTCATTACTAGAGTCTCCATGCCTGGCTAATAGCTGATGATCAATAAACAGACTTAATCCCATCCCTTAAGATAAAATCTAGTACCTGGTAGGTATTTAATATGTTTGCTAAATTGATTTAACTGTAATTTAACTTTAATAGTAAATGTAGTATTTATTAAGTAATTATTAGGAACGGTTTTACCCAATATGCATGTTAATCTATTTAATCTCATATCAACAAAATAAACCTGTTCAATGATTATTATTCCCATTTACATTTGAGAAATTGAGGCCCAGAGAAAGAAGTTACTTTCTGTTCAAGGCCACAAAGGTAGTAAGATTTGATTCCAGGAAATTCCCAGAACCTATATAAAAACCCAGACTGACTACTCTATACTGCCTTTGTAATATCTAAATTATTATAAAATAAAAAATTTAAGCATACTAAATCACCCCTGGTAGTAAAAGCTATCATACAGCATATAAAAAAAAAATCAGGATTTTTTTGAAAAAAATTTCTTTAATTATTCATTTTTAGTTCAAAATATAATGGTTGTAACTATACAGAATGCTATATAGCTAACGTGTACATGATATTAAACATAAGGCTGGAAAAGTATGTAAGTTTTTAAGAGATAATGTCAAACATTCTCATCGCATCTGGCTAGTGGACAATGATAAGGGTTCAGGACTTTTAATGTCATTGATCAATAGAATCAGTAGTGTACTTTTCTTTAAATCTGAGTCAAGGCTTTTAAAAATTAAATAAAAATCAGCTATAGCACCAGGAACTCTGTTCAATATTCTGTAATAATCTAAGGGGGAAAAGAATTTGAAAAAGAATAGATACATGTATATGATGCATAACTGATTTACTTTGTTGTACATCTGAAACTAACACAACACTGTTAATCAGCAATACTCCAATATAAAATAAATTTTTTTAAACTGTAAAAAATTTAGTAAAATTTTAGCACAAAAAAATCAGTTAAGACAAATAATATGGTACCATGATATTAGAAAATCGAATTAACTCTAAACAGTGATAAGATTAGGCTGAAAGCGAAGTGAAAGTGAAAGTCACTCAGTCATGTCCGACTCTTTGCGACCCCATGGACTATACAGTCCATGGAATTCTCCAGTCCAGAATACTGGAGTGGGTAGCCTTTCCCTTCTCTGGAGGGATCTTCCCAACCCAGGGATTGAACCCAGGTCTCCCGCATTGCAGGCAGATTCTTTACCAGCTGAGCCACAAGGGAAGCCATTTAATAGAGAGTAAGAAATAAAAATAAGAGAGGAAGGACAGGAAGGAGAGAAAAGAGGGGAAGGAAAAAGAAGAAAAGACAGAGGAAGAGAAAGGGGGAGGAAGGATGTTAAGATTTAATCCAGTTAAGGGACAGGCTAATAGTTGGTCAGGTGTTCAAAATAAATCTTGTTCAAAAGATTAAGTGGGTAGTAGCTGTGTTAAAGAGAGATGGAAATATCATCTGACTACTGAAGCTGATCCCTGCATTTCTCTGAATCCCTCCATCCATCTCTCGGGGACTCTAGCCCTGGTTTCCACCCCTATCCAAATACTGCTTGGCTCCCTCAGTACACCGAAGTCTGTGTGATTCTTTCTGAAGACAGTCCCTTAAACAAATAAGAGTTGTGGGACAGGATCACCTGGGACAAAGAAGAATATCTGATGCATGCAGTGGCCATGGCAGGGTGGTGTCCAAACCTACGTTTCCTGAAATACAATTTCTCTGTCTTAAAAAATGCTTGGTACACAATTCTCTGGTTTGAGTCAAAAGGCTCATCACATAAAGATAATCTAGGGACTTGCTGGCTATTTTTAGTCATTTTAATTTTAATTAAAAAGCCTTATTTTGTTCTCATTCATGATGTTTTGATTTCTTACCTAAAGAAAAATTACTTTACTATTTTATTTGCCTTCTATTATATCTATTAAATCTACCTCTCTAGCTAGAATAAAAGAACATTTTTAAAGGTAGGAACAGCACCCAATTCAAACACCAATCCTGACAGCTGGCAAAGGGCATATTATTATACTTCAGTGTTTTCTAGTGAACGTAGCAGAAAAGCTGTTTATAGTTATGTCACTTTTTAAAAATAAAAAGTTTAAAATTACAAACTGATATACGACCATTAAAATAAGTGAAACAATCTAGAGCTGTATAAAGAAAATTAATACTTTTTTTCTTCTTCCCTCCCACCACGCTGAAGAAACTAGTTATTTATATTTGTATTAATAACATTATTTGTAACTTATATCCTTGCATACCTTTCTCCATGCTTATATAAATACATAATCATACTTAAGGGTTTTAGCTATTGTTTGTTAACATAAAATGGAATCATAATATACTTATTTTTCAGTTTCTAGTGCTGTGTCACGGTCATCTCTCTCTGTCTTTTAAGTAACTATCAACACATAAACTTTAATATTTTTAAAACTGTACTACAGCTATGTCACAATTTATTTAACCATTCCCCTATAGATGGCTACTCAGGTGTTTCTAGCTGTTTGTTACTACAAATACTACAATATATATCCTCATGCACATATGCCTTTACTGAGCGACTTTCACCATTTTAACTTTTCCATGGGTAAAAATAATGGTTATCTTATTGCTGTATTAATTTAGACTTTCTCAAATACTAATAAAGTTGACTTTCTTTCATATGCTTATTGGCCATTTGAACTTTCACTTCCATGGTTTGCATATTTTTCTGTTAGATTACATTTATTTCATTAATTTGTCAGATCCTTTATCTATTCTGGGGATTAACATTTGTCATTTGTGTTACAAATACTTTTTCTTCAAATTAATATGTGTTGTTTTTGTTTACAGTATAGATTGACAAATTTTTCAAAATTCTTTATGGATTTGGGTTCTCTTGCTTGCCTTAGGCAAGGCTCTCCTACACCACATATTTATGTAAATATTTTCCTAATTTTTTCTAAAAGTGATATTTTAAATTTACATTTTTATAACCTACCTGGAATTTATTTTTATATTTTGTAAGCCAAAGGTCTGATTGTTTTCTTTCAGAAGGATGGTCATCAGCATCATTTATAAAATAAACCATGCATCTCCAACTGAAGTAAAACTTCAACATTTCTCTATCAGAAATAGATTCAGTAGGCAGAAGGTCAGTAAGCTCAAAGTTGAACTCAACAACACCACCAATAAACTGGATACGATGGACACCTATATGCTACTTCATCCAATAACAGCAAAACACACATGATTCTCAAGCTTACACGGAACATTCACCAAGACAGACCACATTCTGGGTCATAAAACACAGCTTTAACAAATTTAAAAGAATAGAAATACTAAAACGTCTGCTCTCAAACACACTGTGGAATTAAACTAGAAACCAATAACAGGAAGATAACTGGAAAATATCCAAATACATGGAGATTAAACAACATACACATGGGTCAAAGAAGAAATTTCAAGAAAAATTGTGAAGTATTTTGATCTAAATGAAAAGGTAACATCAAAATTTGGGGAATGCAGTAAAAGCAATGCTTAGATGGAATTTATAGAATTAAATGCAGGCATATATTAGAAAGCAAGAAAGACCTAAAATAAACTAAGTTTTTACCTTAGGAAAATTAGGAATTACCTTAGGAAATTAGGAAAAGAAGAGCAAATTAAATTGAAAGTAAGCAGAGGAATAGAAATGATAAGAATAGAGCATAAATAAATAAAGTTGAAAATAAGAATCAACAGAGAAATATCATTGGAACCAAAAGTTGGTTCATTGAAAAGATCAAGAACACTGATGAGCCTTTAGCTAGGCTAATTAAGAAAAAAAGAGAAAAGACACAAATTACCCAAATCAGAAGTGAAAGATTCTTTGAACATTAAGAGGATAATAGAGGAATACTAGGAATACTTCCCTGCCCACAGATTTGATAACCTAGATGAAATGGATCAATTACTTGAAAAAGATTTTACCAAAAATTTGCTAAAATTCACACAAGAAGAAAATGTATATAGGCCTAGATTTATTAAAGTAATTCATTTAATAATTAATAACCTTCCAAAATAGACAGTACAAAGCCCAGAGTGCTTCACTGGTGAATTCTACCAAACATTTAAGGGAGAGATTCTGCCAGTCTTCTACAATCTCCTTCACAGGACAGAAGCAGAGGGAATACCTTTTAATTCATTCTATTACCCTAAAAGCAGACAAAGACATTATAAGAAAATAATTTATAAAATAAAACAATCACCAATAATAGAATATTTAAAGAGTACTTTGTATAAGCCCTGGCAAATAGACATTTAAGAGCAATAAAATATGATTATAAAAGCAATCTTTGAAAAGCAAAGTGGCCCAAATTTTTAGCATCAGAGAATAATTTTAATATATGTATCTATTTGGTATTTTATTCAGACTTAGACTATCCACCTAACTAAAGAGAAGAAGAAAATATATACTTAAAAAATCAAAGAACTCACAAAGAGTCCTAAAATTTTATACTTAATTGTTCAGTAAGCATTTAGATGAGCCTATCATTTTCAGACACTGTACAAGATACTGACATTAAGATGATGAAGAAGAAAACAATTCCTGTCCCCAGGTACTCAATCTAGAAAGAACATGAACCTGTTAGTTGCTCAGTCGTGTCTGACTCTTTGTGATTCCATGGACTGTAGCCTGCCAGGCTTCTCTGGTCATGGAAGTCTCCAGGCAGAAATACTGGAGTGGGCTGCCATTTCCTTCTCCAGGGGATCTTCCCAACTGAAGGACTGAACTTGGGTCTCCCACATTGCAGGAAGATTCTTTACCATCTGAGCCAAGGAAGGCCCAGCATAGAAAGGGAGGCAGACAAATAAAGTAGGAAGTATGGTATATGTTTCTTTGACTTCA